GTCTTAACTACTGTGCCAAATAACCCACCCATTGATGTCATATATATAGGTTCAGGAGTAATAGCTTTAAAAACTGAATCTTTTGAGATTTTACTTTAATTAAAAAGCAATCTCTACTTGCAATATCTTCATCAAAGTACAATCATCATGGATCTTAAAGGACAGAGATCATCGATTTGTAGTGTGTGAATGTAAATAATAACAAATATTAATTTAATAGTTCACATTATTTAAAGGCTACCTAAATTCTAACATTTTCCAGCACAAGTGTTCTAAGAGTGTTGAAAGGAATATATACATTGATCTTGTTAAAAGGCATACATTTGGTGTAAAGAAAATCCAGACTTTCCAATTTTTGTCTTTATTTTCTTTATTTGAGAGTGTAGATACACAAACATGGAGACAGAAAGAGAGAGAGAGACCCAATCTGCTGATTTATTTCCAAAATGCCTGCAACAGCTAGGACTAGCCAACCCTGACAGCCACCCAGGAACTCATCCCATGTCTCCTATGCGGTTGGCATGGACCATAGTATTTGAGCCATCACCTGGTGCTTCCCACAGCAGGCATGAGTAGGAAGCAGGGATCTCTTGATATCTAAATTACTCCCCATTTTCATTGATTTCATCTATTGATTCTCAAACACAGGCACTTTGAAAAGGAATGCAGGCATCCTAAGCAGCATCTTAACCCTAAATATTTTTATTTATGACAACTATGTTTTTTTTTTTTTCTCAAAAGACTCCAGAGAATATTTTTTTTTTAATTTGACAGATAGAGTTAGATCGTGAGAGAGAGAGACAAAAAGTCTTTCTTCCATTGGTTCATCCCCCAAATGGCAGCTACGGCCGGCGCTGCACCGATCCGGAGCCAGGAGCCAGGTGCTTCCTCCTGGTCTGCCTCTCATTCTACCTTTCAAATAAATAAATAAATCTTTAAATAAAATACACAACTGCCCTAAGAGTGGTTGTACCAATAACAGAAACATCATTTTCTCAGGAAGTCAGAGGTTTACCACATAGTATCACTGTACTTGTGATACAACTCGATCAACAACTCTATCTGCCATGCGGGTGCAGGAACCAAGCACTTGGGCCATCCTCCACTGCCTTCCCAGGCCACAGCAGAGAGCAGGACTGGAAGAGGAGTAACCGGGACTAGAACCCGGTTCCCATATGGGATGCTGGCGCCACAGGCGGAGGATTAGCCAAGTGAGCCACTTCCTAGAGAATTTTTGAAACTATCTGTTTCAATGTGTCAATATCAGAGTCATGGCTTGAACTTAGTAAACATAAAGAGGAACTGACTTTCACATTATTATATCATCTCATTCCAATAGAAATCCATGATCTTAGAAATGCTCTGTACTAATATGGTAATCACTAGCACATATTACTATTTAGCACGTGGAATGTGACTAATATAGCTAACAAACTAGATTTTTAATTATGCTACTTTAATTAACTTAAATTTAAATTGCTAGAGGAAACTAGTTGCTATCATATTATATATTGCAGTACATGATGATGCATTTAAATATATTAACTGTTTAAGATGTGTTTCTTATTATTTAAAAATACTGTGAAAACTACTATTTTACTTTTATATCTTAGCTGCTGAGATAGTATCAGTATACCTTGAATTTCCAGTAGCTTAACAAAGCCAATTTTGATCTCTCTCTTTGTAAATACAGCGCTACCTTGTAGATGTGCTCCATAGGTGGTTATGTTTCAGTCTTTTATTCAGGGCTACTAAAGCAAAATATCAAAAACTGTGTACAATATAAACAACAGATATTTATTTTCGTGGTTCTGGAGGACACTGGAACATCCAAGATCAAGGTGCCGAAACAGCTGGTGTTTGATGAACCTTATTTCCTCATTCATGGGTAATGGCTTTTTGCTGTACCCTCACTTGGTAGAAAGGATGAGGGTTTTGTACTGGATCTCTTTTATACCAACTCTAAGCCTGTTGGTGAGGATTCTTCTCTCATGAGTCATTCACTTCCCAAATTTCTACTTCCTAAAGCTATATCCTTGGGGATTTGGATTTCAACATATGAATTTTGGAGGGACTCAAAGATTCATAACATAGATCAGGATACAGAAAGACCACTTTCATTTTGTAGTTCTAATTATTCATTTCATGGTCTCAGGGGCTGCAGCTTCAATGAAAGAGAAGATGTGAAGAACAAGGGCACTTGTAAAAAATTGCTGCTGAAGTAAAACAGGCACTTCTCTTAATAGTCCCTTGGTCAGGATCGTCAGAAACCCCTAAGGAATTTCCACGGTGGCTGGCAAGTTTTTCCAGAGACCATAATGTACAGATTGCTGAATTGGTAACTGTTGAGATCAGTTTGGATCCTTGCTTACAAATAAGATGTCATTTTTCTCTCTCTAGCCAATATCTCCAAGTAAAAAGGAAATTGCAACTTCCTTACCAAACTTTCCATTTTAAAATGACTCTTCCAAGATAGTATACAACTGATGACACAGAATATAAATTTTTGGGCCAATTTTAGTAATTATCCTTAGTTCTTTATATCTTAATCTTCCAAAGTCAGTTTTAGGTATTAATCATGACTGTGAAGATTAAAAGGAAGTTGGAAATATAAGAAATTGGGGGTGGAGGGATGTTGATAGGAAACAAATCATGAAGTTAACCTTTTGCTCCCTAACAGAGATAGACAAAAATAATATAAATATCTGCCTTTTATAGACTAATTAAAGGTGACCATAAGTTCTGATTGATAAAGCTGATGTTTTTCTAGTATAATTACCACTCACCCTAATCAAAATATATATGTATAAATATTCCTTCTGGAAGATATGTTAGCCTGAAAAGCTAAAATATACACATGAAAGTTTTTTTTTTCAAAGAATATATGCCAAAGATAAGGACAGGCGCAAAATACTTCACATAAAGAAAAAATGTTGTTTATGTTTTGAGGATATTCTAACCTGAATACTGTAAATTTATTCCAGAAAAATCCAGAAATTTCATTTTTTAGGCTGTAAATGATATCAATACAGAAGTACTCACTCATTTCCAATGGGACAAGTAAAGATAATTTATATTAGGCAATGGTTTGGGTTAAATAAATAGAAGAAATTTTAAAATATTAATGGAATCACCAGATAATTCTGCAAATTATGCCAGGGACTTATATCTAGTCTCTTTCTCATGTAATATTTTCCATTTCACTCTAACTGCCCATTTAGTAACTATAAAATAGGGGGCAAATCACCATTTAATACACAAATAACATCTTTAGTCCTTCAAAACAAATTTAATGTTATTTTATTATATATGTGTATGTACTTTGTAGAATTTGTAAAGCTTATATTGAAATTTATTCTTTGTGAAAAGTTGGCATTTAGTATTACCATTATTTTCAGTTTAAGCATGGCTAGTTTATAAAGAATAAAATATCTTATAAAGAAGAAAACATCTTCTAAATCCTTGCAAGGAATGATTAGTTTATATCTTTTTATAATCCAAGGAATCCTACAAGAAGATAAAATGTAATAATAATGAAATAGTGACATAAAATTCCAACATAAAGAAAAAGTTACCATTTTGTTACTCAAAATGGGTTTATCATGTCTATTCTACTATTTTTAAACCATTATTTATTTTTTATTGCTATTTGTGTTGATAAATATGGTTGCAAAATTACCTGGGTTTTGAATGTACTGTTTCAACCTATTTTCCCTCTAACTCTTATTATTTTATAGGTACATAATTTTTTAAAACATGAATTTTTGAGAAATTCATATAATATATTATTGCATAACTGTCTATATTTAGCAGGATTATTGACATTTAGAAGTTGATGAATAAATATTCAAAGAGTGGGAAAAAGTGTGTCTCCAACATAATGGATCCAACATAATGGATCAGAAATTTCAGTGTCCAAGTATCACAATAAGTGTTATTAAAACACAAGTAGTGGGGCTGGTGCTGTGGCACAGCAGTGTCAGCATCCCATATGGGTACCAGTTCTAGTCCTGGCTGTTCCTCTTCCCATCCAGCTCTCTGCTGTTCCCTGGAAAAGCAGTAGAAGGTGGCCCAAGTACTTGGGCCCCTGCACCCACATGAGAGGCCCCATGAAAGTTCCCGGCTCCTGGCTTAGAAATGGCTCAGCTCCACAGCTGTGGCCATTAAGGGGGTGAACCAGACATGATTTCTCTCTGTCTCTTCCTCTCACTGTAGTAACTTTACCTCTCAAATAAATAAATAAAATTTATTAGAAATAAAAACAGTTGGGCCGGCACCGCGGCTCACTAGGCTAATCCTCCGCCTAGCGGCACCGGCACACCGGGTTCTAGTCCCGGTCGGGGCACCGGAGTCTGTCCCGGTTGCCCTTCTTCCAGGCCAGCCCTCTGCTGTGGCCAGGGAGTGCAGTGGAGGATGGCCCAGGTGCTTGGGCCCTGCACCCCATGGGAGACCAGGAAAAGCACCTGGCTCCTGGCTCCTGCCATCGGATCAGCGCGGTGCGCCGGCCGCAGCGCGCCAGCCGCAGCGGCCATTGGAGGGTGAACCAAAGGCAAAGGAAGACCTTTCTCTCTGTCTCTCTCTCTCACTGTCCACTCTGCGTGTCGAAACAAAAAAAAAAAAAAAAAAGAAAAGAAAGAAAGAAATAAAACAGTTGGCAAAGCCCTCTTGTAGATTCTTCAAGAGGTCTTGGGTGGTATCCAGACATTTACATTTCTAACATCTCCTAGGGGATACTGCTGCTGTTGGTGTAGTGCACAAATTTTAAGATCTATTGCTCCACCCATCTACCCCATTTATTCATTAGATTCTGTGAGTTGGGTACAGTGTGGAAGCCAACACAGATTGTGAGTGAGGGTGAAGCTATCTGGCAGAAAGTATTTTATTATTTTGAATACTTCACAATATTGTTAGAAATTTTCTAAAAACTGAAAGTATTTCTCAAGTCATAAGTTCACCCATTGCAGATATTATTCAAAATAAACATAAAATGCAACACTTTATTAAAGTAAAAGTATCTTTACTATTAATATACAAATGGTGAAGAGTGACAATTTTGATATACTGTAAGCCATACTTTCAATGTCTCTCATAAATACAAAACTTCAACATTTGCAGTATAATTTTTACAGTTTAGACATATATATACAGCATTTCATAGGGACATATTCTATTGAAATAATAAGAAAACGTTTTAGTAGCTAACTTAGGAATATAAAATTTGAATGGTATATATAAGTTAAAGAAAATAAAAGATAGTATGTTTTTGTTGTATTCTGAACACAGTAGAATTCATATGCCAAAAACAAAATAAAAATGTTTTTAAATATTCATTTCTAACAAGTTCACAAGTTTTGAACAAGATTAGAGGCAAACACTAAACCACGTACATTTCTTTCAGAGGTGGAACAAATATGCTTGTTCATAACAGTACATTTATTACATAGCATCCATGTTTGTAAAGTTGAATGATGGGTTCAATCTCTATTTACTTTCTCCTCAGGATTTCGTGAGGTTTTTTTTTTTTTTTTCCCTTTGGAATAGTTTTTAGTTGGCCTTAAATTTCATTTGAGCCATGTCCCTACTCCCTGGTTCAGCACACTCACAGTCTGTTCTTTCTAACCTATTTCAAATGTCTGAGTTCAGTTTGCCTTTCTGGATCCTTCCATTTTTATTCCTCTACTGTCCTATGTCTGATGCTGATTTGAAATGCCCCAACATAGCTTTGCTTGTTATTCTCCATAGATGTCTAAAATCAGATGCCAACATTTGCTTGGCATTGTGTGATGCCAATGACATGCTTTAATTTCAAAAAAATAAAACAGAAGTTGCAATATTTAAATTTATATGAGTAATTTTTATAAGAATGACAAACAATGTATGATAAGAATCCTGAAAACTGTAAAAATGCTGAATTTAACGTGGCAATACTAACAATTTTTCGGTGAAATCCTATGTGGAATATCTCACTATACTTCTAAGAATATCCAGTGTCTTATCAAATAAATATTTACCATTATATATAATATAAAAGTCTTTGACTTTTATTTAAAGGGAAATAAAATATTAGCATTCTTTTATAATGTTGTTAAATAGCTGCATCTTCATGAGTAAGTGCAATTTTTAAAGAAGGAAGGGTGGAACCTGGAAGAAAATTATATCTGTTCAATAACTCTTATGTTTAAGTCTCTTTATACTTTTCTCACACATATAATTGTTTCATCTCAAAACATCATTAAACCCATGAGTAGAATACCCCCTTGAAAGATTCCATTTTGGGATTAAAATATTTCATTTCTGTGGCCTTCCAGAATTTAATTTTAGCATATAACAATACATTAATATGTAATTTCACTGGAGAGACTATTGTTAGAATGTTTCAAAGGGTTAATAAGAAGATGCAAGTCTTTTCTCATTGAAGATAAATAGTCTTATCAATCTCATTTAAAAATATTTTCATATATTAATAAAGTTTCTTGAACAAACACTCTGGAAATAAAAAAGAACTGTGTGAGGGCCTCAGGTTGAACATTTATATTATTTTCCAGGAAAAAGAGCATTGCAAATTTAATAAATATTTGTGATATTCCAGTATTTCCTAAATTAATAGAGAATAACATTAAAATCACTTCATCTGTAGACATTTGCATTAGTGATATCTCATCATCAAAAATTTAAAAAATGACTTAGAATTCCAAATCAAAGTAACACCACAGTAATTTGCCCTAGTTTTGTAAGTCAACTGCAGTCTTTGTATTCCAATAATATCTCAACTAATTTATTGTATAGAAAAACAATACAAAACAAATTAAAGAATATCTTATGTGTTATAAAGAACTTTTTTGTCATGAGTGAAAAAAGTGTACCGTATAATTTGTTATATTTGAGTTTATAGTCAAGGTAAATTAGTTTGAATTGAGCTTATTTATTGAATGTAAATAAAACAGTCTCTTTTGAGTGTCACAGATATGAGCAAAACATCAGGAAACATGGCAGTTGTGGTTTTTCTTTTTTAATAAAGCAGTGTCATGCTAATTGAAAGGCACAAAGACATTTTAATTATTAAAATATGTGTAAACTAAAGGTATGATTATAAAGTTACAATTAATTGTTGCCACTCAAATAAATAATGTTCTTAAAATATTTCTATTTATATAAATGTTTAATTCAAAACCCTAGATTCATATGAAGTTTATTGGATAAAATAGCCTTTCAAAACTGTTTTTACATACATTAATATTAAAAATAAAGAAAAATTAAGAAGCTTTTCATTAATGTTAGATGTTAGTATCAAGAGAATGCGACATGCCATACCCCCAAAATAGTAGATAAAACTATAGAAATGACTATTATCAATTAACTTCCTTTACAAATCATTATAAAATTGTGGACACATTAATTTCTGCCAATTTTCAAACAAAAATATCTGTTAAAATTCTATTTTTGCTTCCTCTTGCAGGCTGTTGAATATACTCTCGATTATCATTATTTGCCAATAACTTATTACAAAATACCAGTGATTTCAGTGATCTTTGCTTCTTCCTTTAAAATAAGTTGGGATTCAGATTATTTTAACAGTACTTACACTCAGTTATCTCTTTTGCATTTTATACTAATACTTAAGAGTATTCGCTAACAGTTAAAAAATTGATACAATTATGTGGATGTGTTTGTTCTAGAATAAGAATGAAGAACCAGACACAAATTTCAGCCCTACTCATATTTTGCAGTTTTCTGCAGGCCATCTATTTTTTGGAAGCTATTACAAGTAGAGTATTTTGGAGCATTCCACTGCAATAGTTCAAAACAAGTTGACCACATCTTGTCTTGCTAGTTTATGGCATTGATTTCAAGAACAAGAGATGAGGACCACTCAACAACTGAAACAATTCACTTGAAACAGTCTGTCCACAATTAGTCTCCAGAGTATCTATTAATTTCATATCATTACTCCACATGAGTGGCAAGAAACTTAACATCATATATATAAAAGAATTGAGGTCAATTTCTTTACATGGAAAGTCCAAAGAAATGGAAGAAATTTTCAAAATAAGAAAACACAAAAATATTTTGCTCTTTATTATGATATCTCTGCTCCTGCAGTGTAACACAAATACAACAATAGTAAACATGCGAAGTCACTTTCTCAGTCACCCTAATTCTTTCAACTTCATTAGTTTAAAACCATGTGGCCCTATGAAGAAAAAAAAATAGCTTTCATGGCTATTGCTTCATAGACACTTTACTAATCTCATTAACTTTACACAAACAAACTAATTCAAGTATTTTGACTAGTTTTAGCACATTGGCACAAAACAAACAAAATAAAACTGATCAAAATAAAGCCAAACAAATGACCAGACAAATATAAACAGAACAGCAACAGTCAAATCTGTAGAATCAGTTGGATAACCCAGTTAATAAAAATGGTTAAAGTGGTTTGTTTGTTTACTTTAGACACTACTTAAATTCCTACGTGGGCACAAGATTCTGTTCTTTTTCTTCAGAATATGCCAGGAAAGCTAAAAAGGAGAGAGACTTCTGTATTATAACCCTACAATGTATGGCAACCATACTGTGGAAATTTGATTGCCCGAACATGCAGACATACATATTCTGTCTCCCTGACAGGCAGAAGAGAGATGAAAAGTATAAAATTACTTAATTGGCTCTCCTTGATCGATAGTTTCAAGCACTCTGTAAATAAAGATAATCTTGACTAACATTAACATTTGAATTTAATATTCATCAATTTATCTATAGACAGACACTAACTACCAAAGCAGATTCCTCTGCACTGTTGAAATTGCCTCCAAAGTTCTATTGGAACATATTCCTCAGCCAGTCATTGTTTGAGCTGCAATACTACCCAAAATAGCAAAGGTTATGAATGTGACGGGGCTTAACGAAATCCTTGACTCTCTAAGAAATAATACGCTCCCAATTGGTACGCATGTTTATAATCATAAACACATATTTTATTCCTTAAATAGAATTTAAATTGTGTTTCAATCTTTTACCTCTGGGAGCTTGCATAGCTTGGAAGTTAACAAATATTTTATTCTGGTGTAGGTCCTAACAAGTGTTAGTAGAAAGTCTGTTGAATAGTTAAGGAATTCCTTCAAAGTTGTTTACCAAAGTCTTAAAATAATTCTAGCTACATTATCCAGAATACAAATACAGAGGGCCAATTCAGTTATTTACCATTGACACTGTTATGGCATATTTAAATGTCAAACAATATCTCCTTGACTTTTACCAAACTTGTTTTAATTTAAACTAGCCAAACACAATTTAATTCTGGATCTGTAACATTTAGGAAAATTAGTTCCTAAACAAAGATTATCAAAAATTATGGGCCAAAAATATGTCTGAGCATGTGATTCAAAGTATTTGAACATTAAGGACTTTGATAAATTGCTTTAAAAGAGAATATAATCACATTATAAATATGAGACAATATATTTGTACTATTCCCCATTTTAATTCATTTTATTTGAAGCTGAGGGCAGAAATCAATGTTATCTTCACTTGCAATACATTTACTTTTTGTGTAGTCCATTGAGAATGAATATGGCCTATATAAAGAGACAGAGATTTAGGGAATCTTTCTATATTAATTTTATACTACAAATCTTTCATATGGGTAACAATTTTGATCTGGCACTCAGTCTATCAAAAATCAATGTTGAATATGCACTGTCATCATAACTTGAAAAGTTCTCTGAAGTTTTTCTTGCTTTTTTAATATCTGCTAAAGATGACTGGCTCTTACCAGACCAGGCTCCCTGAAATTTCCTGGATAAAAAGTAAAACCTTTATTATCTGCCTTCATCTTAACCTGAAAGCCATTAATAATCTATTTGCCCAAGATAGGATTCATAAGCATGCAGGGCTTTCTTACACATTTAGCTCATAAAGCTTTTGTTTTGTATAGTTTTTTATTAAACCTCTATTTGTCAGAGAGGTTGAATTATATTTGTTTTCAGTATGTAACACAGTTATAGAGCACTTTATCATTTTATAAGTTGCAGTACTTCAAACAATCAAATTGATACCCAAGAGTTGGTGCCAGTCAAGTCTCTATGTTGAAATTCTTAACAAAATAAACAACCACCACAACAACAATAAAAGGAAATGGACCATGAATAGGAGTATTTGATGATACGTATATGTGTACAGGCTATTCCAAGCTAGAAGTTTCCAAAGAAATTAAGGTCAATGGAATAGTTTTGGTCATACGGTCACTGCAATCCAAATGCTCACTGTAGTGTTGGTCAAACCACTATTCAAGATGTCATTATGCTTTGCTGTCATCTTCTTTAGATTGGATGATATCATTAGAAACTTTAATTTCTATAGTGTCTGCATTTAGTGCTTCTTTTCCATTTTCTTCTTTTAAAGGCAATTTTCTGTAGGAAGATAGAAAAACAATAGGCCTTATTTGAGAAGGCATTTTAGAGAACTATTCTTTAACATTTTTTGTAGAAGAAATATAAAACAATTACTAGAAAAAAATCAAATTTGTTAAATCAATGCCCAATTGACTGAAAAATAAGTTTACAATGAATAAATCAATTATCATTATTCATAGTAAAATTTGAACATAATATGAAAAGATGATTATATTTGTATCTCAAGATGCCTCAATTGTTCTTATAGAATCCTTTGGATTTGAAGACCATTTGTTGATGTTAAAAATTAAAATTGTTTTAGAGAGTAAAATAAATACACTCATTTAACATATTATTTATATCTGGTGAAGATGACCACTGAAAACTATTGCTGTCTCAACAAATTTTTATTTAAAAATGCAAGTAGTCATAACCGCATATAGAATGGTGTGATGAACCCTAATGGGTTCCTTGCTCACTTCATCTATTTTCATTCATATTTCAATCATATTTCCTTTATTATCCAACTTCCTACTCTTGCTTTTTCTTTCATTAATGTTTTTTTTAAAAAACAATTTTGACTAAACTATATTTGCAGCAATAATGATACACTTTTGTATGTATACTGCATGATGTTTTCCTACTCAGGTCTTTCAAGTAAGAACCCTATATAATATGATCTGTTACATAATGAGTAACTAGATGAATTAGCAATATTTTTTGGATCCTAGTGACCATTAACATATTTCCGAACTTTCTGACTTTTTACATATTGCCAGTATGTTTTCTTTGGTCTATTTTCACTATTTTTATATCAGTTTTAAATAATTTCTTAGCATATTCATGAGAATGATTTTCAAGTATTACCTATGAAGCCATTGTAATCTTCATTTATTAAGATATGTTTACGAATCTCACTACAGCACCAATGAATCAATATTTCTAGTTTTTAATACTATTTCCAAATTCAATAGTTTACTATTACATATTATATATGTATATGTAATAGTATATATATGTACAGTATTATATATGTTTATATATGGTTATATAGTATAGTATATATTTTATATATATATATATATATGTTTTTGAAGAGTAAATGTACCTGACTTGTGTGTGTGTGTGTGTTTTCACATTAAGAGAATTAAGTTACAGATAATGTTTCAGTTTGCCTCTACCTCTTTAACCTTGATTTTATGAGGAAATCAATGTTGCCATGCTAGTTCTGATATGGGCTAGGGAGGTAGTTAGTTTAAGATCTGTTGACCTGAAGTACCAAGCCATTCCCCACCACCACATGCCATGTGTCAATCAAAATGCCCTCTGTTCCCCAGATGTATGTACTTCATCTAGGAAATACACCATGAACTTATAGACCATAAAGTCCCCATTTCACTCTTGTAGAAGCAGCTATCCTCAACCCTAGCCATGCAACAACCTCATTGAAGAAGCCAACACTGGGAAGCTTTTTTCTCTCTCTCTCTATCCCCCCCCCCTCTGTCTCTCACCCTGACCCCCCATACAGACCAGGCCCGGGGGAGGTGCTGGGGTGGTCTCTCTGCTTCCCTTCCCCATCCTTCTTTCCTTTTGGGCCCATTGCCCACCCTTGTCAGGTATCTACCTGTGTGGGATAACCCAGGTTCATGTGTGTACGTATGTGTGTGTCTGTGTGTATTCCCTTTCTCATCTTTTGAATAAAACTTACCTTATATCTACTAGTACTAAAATGCTTATCTTTGTTCCTGACAAGGACCTGGAATAAGTATCACTATATTCCTAAATCTGTACATATGAAATGCATAAAATATGTATACCTTAACTAAAACTAAAAATATTTACAAAATGTACATATATATATATATATATATATACATCTCACTCCCCTACTCCAGTTCCTTTGATATTTACTTGGAATTATTTTTATATTTTCAAATGAGAAGGGAAACAATGTATTTTCTAGATCAAAGTTGTGAAAAGTAACCAATAAAAAGACAGTCGTTGGCAAAAACTAAGGTGATCTGATGCTGGGAATGAAGTTGCAGCTACTTCATATCTACTAGAGCAGGCTTTTTTATTCTTGTTAGAAGTGACACATTCACTGCTCTTCCTTTCTCCTACTTCAAAGTGTTGTAAATATTTTCAGTAAAAAGATTATAAAAACAATGGAACACTTGCAGCTTCAAGGAGTAGAGAAACAGAGTTCTGATAGGAGGTTAGCATTATACTGACCATATCTCTTATACATAGAATATTGTATTGAGTATTTAATGTACCAATATTTTCAACTAAGTATTGGGCAATGTATTCTTGCACTTATAATTTTTCATGATTCACATTACATTAAACTTCTTTAAATATTTTTTTTTAACTTTTATTTAATGCATATAAATTTCCAAAGTACGACTTATGGATTACAATGGCTTTCCCCCCATACCGTCCCTCCCACCCACAACCCTCCCCTTTCCCACTCCCTCTCCCCTTCCATTCACATCAAGATTCATTTTCGATTATCTTAATATACAGAAGATCAGCTTAGTATACATTAAGTATGGATTTCAACAGTTTGCTCCCACACAGAAACATAAAGTGAAAAATAATAGATGATTTTTTAAAATGATGATGAAATCAGAGCAGACCTATTGTCATGTTTAATCCCAGTGAGAGTCAAGTTGGGAATTGATAATTTCTTTTTTTTTTTTTTTTTTTTTTTTTTACAGAGGATCAGTTTAGTATGCATTAAGTAAGGATTTCAACAGTTTGCACCCCCATAGAAACACAAAGTGAAATATATTGTTTGAGTACTCGTTATAGCATTAAATCTCAATGTACAGCACATTAAGGATAGAGATCCTACATGAGGAGTAAGTGCACAGTGACTCCTGTTGTTGACTTTACCAATTGACACTCCTGTCTATGGCATCAGTAATCTCCCTATGCTCCAGTCATGAGTTTCCAAGGCTATGGAAGCCCTCTGAGTTCTCCGATTCTTATCTTGTTTAGACAAGCTCATAGTCAAAGTGGAGGTTCTCTCCTCCCTTCAGAGAAAGGTACCTCCTTCTTTGATGGCCTGTTCTTTCCACTGGGATCTCACTCTCAGAGATCTTTTGCCAGAGTGTCTTGGCTTTCCATGCCTGAAATACTCTCATGAGCTTTTCAGCCAGCTCCGAATGCCTTTAGGGCTGATTCTGAGGCCAGAGTGCTATTTAGGACATCTGCCATTCTATGAGTCTGCTGAGATTCTCACTTCCCATGTTGGATCACTCTCCCCTTTATTTACTCCATCAGTTAGCATTAGCAGGTACTAGACTTGTCTATGTGCTCCCTTTGACTCCCAGTCCCTTCACCATGACCAACTGTGAACTGAAACTGATCACCTGGAACAGTGAGATGGCATTGGTACATGCCACCTCGATGGGATTGAATTGGAATCCCCTGGTATGCTTCCAACTCCACCACTTGGGGCAAGTCAGCCTGAGCATGTCCCAAATTATACATCTCTTCCCTCTCCCATTCCCACCACCATGTTCAACAGGGATCACATTTCAGTTAATTTTCAACACTTAAGAATAACTGTGCATCAATTACAGATCTAAACCAGTCATATTAAGTAGAACAGATAAAAAAAACTACTAAGAGGGATAATGTATTTAGTTGTTCATTAACAGTCAGGGCTATGCTGATCAAGCCACCATTTCCCATAGTGTCCACCTCACTCCAACAGGTTTCCCTCTTGGTGTTCAGTCAGTCGTCACCGATCAGGGAGAACATATGGTATTTGTCCCTTTGGGACTGGCTTATTTCACTCAGCATGATGTGTTCCAGATTCCTCCATTTTGTTGCAAATGACTGGATTTCGTTGTTTCTTACTGCGGTATAGTATTCTAAAGAGTACATATCCCATAATTTCTTTATCCAGTCTATCGTTGATGGGCATTTAGGTTGGTTCCAGGTCTTAGCTATTGTGAATTGAGCTGCAATAAACATTAGGGTGCAGACCTCTTTTTTGTTTGCCAATTTAAATTCCTTTGGGTAAATTCCAAGGAGTGGGATGGCTGGGTCGAACGGTAGGGTTATCTTCAGGTTTCTGAGGAATCTCCAGACTGACTTCCATAGTGGCTTGACCAGTTTGCATTCCCACCAACAGTGGGTTAGTGTCCCTTTTTCCCCACATCCTCGCCAGCATCTGTTGTTGGTAGATTTCTGCATGTGAGCCATTCTAACCGGGGTGAGGTGAAACCTCATTGTGGTTTTGATTTGCATTTCCCTGATTGCTAATGACCTTGAACATTTTTTCATGTGCCTGTTGGCCATTTGGATTTCCTCTTTTGAAAAATGTCTATTGAGGTCCTTGGCCCATCTCTTAAGTGGGTTGTTGGTTTTGTTTTTGTGGAGTTTCTTGATCTCTTTGTAGATTCTGGTTATTAACCCTTTGTCTGTTGCATAGTTTGCAAATATTTTTTCCCATTCTGTCGGTTGTCTTTTCACTCTCCTGACTGTTTCTTTTGCAGTACAGAAACTTCTCAATTTGATGCAATCCCAATAGTTGATTTTGGCTTTGACTGCCTGTGCCTCCCGGGTCTTTTTCAGAAATTCTTTGCCTGTGCCAATATCTTGAAGGGTTTCTCCAATGTTCTCTAATAACTTGATGGTGTCAGGTCGTAGATTTAGGTCTTTAATCCATGTGGAGTGGATTTTTGTGTAAGGTGTAAGGTAGGGGTCTCGCTTCATGATTCTGCACTTGGAAATCCAATTTTCCCAGCACCATTTATTGAATAGACTGTCCTTGCTCCAGGAATTAGTTTTAGATCCTTGATCAAATATAAGTTGGCTGTAGATGTTTGGGTTGATTTCTGGTGTTTCAATTCTGTTCCATTGGTCTATCCATCTGTTTCTGTACCAGTACCATGCTGTTTTAATTACAACTGCCCTGTAGTATGTCCTGAAATCTGGTATTGTGATGCCTCCGGCTTTGTTTTTGTTGTACAAGATTGCTTTAGCTATTCGAGGTCTCTTGTGCCTCCATATAAATTTCAGCACCATTTTTTCCAGATCTGAGAAGAATCATACCATGCAGCTTCTCAGACCATAAAGGAATGAAGTTGGAAATTACCAACTCAGGAATCCCTACAGCATACGCAAACACATGGAGATTGAACAACATGCTCCTGAATGAACAATGGGTCATAGAAGAAATCAAAAGAGAAATCAAAAACTTTCTGGAAGTAAATGAGGATAACAGCACAACATACCAAAACTTATGGGACACAGCAAAAGCAGTGTTAAGAGGAAAGTTTATATCAATAGGTGCCTACATCAAGAAATTGGAAAGACACCAAATAGATGAGCTTTCAATTCACCTCAAGGATCTAGAAAACCTACAGCAAATCAGACCCAAATCTAGTAGGAGAAGAGAAATAATTAAAATCAGAGAAGAAATCAACAGGATTGAATCAAGAAAAACATTACAAAAAATCAGCCAAACGAGGAGCTGGTTTTTTGAAAAAATAAACAAAATTGACACCCCATTGGCCCAACTAACGAAAAAAAGAAGAGAAAAGACCCAAATCAATAAAATCAGAGATGAAAAAGGAAATGTAACAACAGACACCACAGAAATAAAAAGAATCATCAGAAATTACTACAAGGACTTGTATGCCAGCAAACAGGGAAACCTATCAGAAATGGATAGATTCCTGGACACATGCAACCTGCCTAAATTGAACCAGGAAGACATCGAAAACCTAAACAGACCCATAACTGAGACAGAAATTGAAACAGTAATAAAGGCCCTCCCAACAAAGAAAAGCCCAGGACCAGATGGATTCACTGCTGAATTCTACCAGACGTTTAAAGAAGAACTAACTCCAATTCTTCTCAAACTATTCAGAACAATCGAAGAAGAGGGAATCCTCCCAAATTCTTTCTATGAAGCCAGCATCACCTTAATTCCTAAGACGGAGAAAGATGCAGCACTGAAAGAGAATTACAGACCAATATCCCTGATGAACATAGATGCAAAAATCCTCAATAAAATTCTCGCCAATAGAATGCAACAACACATCAGAAAGATCATCCACCCAGACCAAGTGGGATTCATCCCTGGTATGCAGGGATGGTTTAATGTGTGCAAGACAATCAATGTGATACACCACATTAACAGACTGCAGAAGAAAAACCATATGATTATCTCAATAGATGCCGAGAAAGCATTTGATAAAATATAACACCCGTTCATGATGAAAACTCTAAGCAAACTGGGTTTGGAAGGAACATTCCTCAATACAATCAAAGCAATCTATGAAAAACCCACAGCCAACATCCTATTGAATGGGGAAAAGTTGGAAGCATTTACACTGAGATCTGGAACCAGACAGGGATGCCCACTCTCACCACTGCTATTCAATATAGTTCTGGAGGTTCTAGCCAGAGCTATTAGGCAAGAAAAAGAAATTAAAGGGATACAAATTGGGAAGGAAGAGCTCAAACTATCCCTCTTTGCAGATGACATGATTCTGTTTTAGAGGACCCAAAGAACTCTACTAAGAGACTATTGGAACTCATAGAAGATTTTGGCAAAGTAGCAGGGTATAAAATCAATGCACAAAAATCAACAGCCTTTGTATACACAGACAATGCCATGGCTGAGGAAGAACTTCTAAGATCAATCCCATTCACAATAGCTACAAAAACAATCAAATACCTTGGAATAAACTTAACCAAAGACGTTAAAGATCTCTACGATGAAAATTACAAAACCTTAAAGAAAGAAATAGAAGAGGATACCAAGAAATGGAAAAATCTTCCATGCTCATGGATTGGAAGAATCAATATCATCAAAATGTCCATTCTCCCAAAAGCAATTTACAGATTCAATGCAATACCAATCAAGATACCAAAGACCTTCTTCTCAGATCTGGAAAAAACTTCTTTAAATATTAATTTTAACTATATTACTTTTGTGTTATATATTACTCTTAGGCAATTGATATCTAGAGTGGTTACTAAATCATATTTTCCCCAAAATATAGCCCAGTTATACACAAGGGCTTTTCATATCTAGTTTCGATACACTCCAGTGTGATGTTATAAATTTCAATGAATAGAAGTTTATTTTGTTGCACATTTTTTTGCTTTATTGAAAAGATTTCTGATTTCTGAAGAGGAGACCATTGAATCTACCTTGTGACTTCTGTCTCATTCTGTCTCAATATGGTTAATTTCACTTGATTTTAGGCAAAAGACCGAGAAGCGACCAATATGGTTAATTTCAACAAAAGATGAAATAATCTTTAAACATAATCAGTAAAAATGATCTGAGAATTTACAGTGAAAATTTTAGCTATAGAGTAGTACTTTGTGTTTTTCTGAATATTAATCATTTCAATCCTCTAGAACAGATGAAAGAGATTTTTGCAAAGCAAACAAAACAAAACAAAACAAAAACATTTCTTTGGTAGTGAGAATGCTTAATTTAGAATAAGAAACCTAAAACAGATTACTCTGCAGAAATAATAGTAGCTAATGAAAAACAATATTTGATATGAAAAACAAGAAATTTTGAAAGACAATAAGGAGTAGAGAAGATTGTGATCATCTTGGTTTTTGATAGTATCATATGTGTTCAGTAGATAACTTCTATTACTGCTTTTACCATTTTATAAATGGCTTTGGTTTGGGCGATTTTTATTCTCATGTGCACAAATCCAGGCACATGTTCATCTTTGCAACTTTATCTGAAATGCCTATTATAGTTTGAATGGAGCTGTGATAGATGTAGAAAGAAATAAGTAACATAGGGCCGGTGCTGTGGCGCAGCGGGTTAATGCCCTGGCCTGAAGTGTCAGGATCCCAAATGGGCGCTGGTTCTAGTCCCGGCTGCTCCTCTTCCAATCCAGCTCTCTGCTATGGCCTGGGAAAACAGTAGAGGATGGCCCAAGTCCTTGGGCCCCTGCACCCACGTGGGAGACCCGGAGGAAGCTGGCTCCTGGCTAAAGATCGGTGCAGCTCCAGCAGTTGCGTTCAATTGGAGAGTGAACCATTTGATGGAAGACCTCTCTCTTTCTTTCTTTCTTTCTTTCTCTCTCTCTCTGCCTCTTCTCCTTCTGTGTAACTCTGACTTTCAAATAAAATAAATGAATATTTGAAAAAAAAGTAAAGAAGTAATATTTTCTTTCTTTTTTTATTTTTTTGGACAGGCAGAGTTAGATAGTGAGAGAGAGAGAGAGAGACAGAGAGAAAGGTCTTCTTTCCGTTGGTTCACCCCCAAATGGCCACCACAGCCGGCACTGCGCTGAACTGAAGCCAGGAGCCAGGTGCTTCCTCCTGGTCTTCCATGTGGGTACAGGGACTCAAGCACTTGGGCCATCCTCCACTGCCCTCCCAGGCCACAGCAGAGAGCTGGACTGGAAGAGGAGCAACCGGGACAGAATCCGGCACCCCAACCGGGACTAGAACCCGGGGTGCCAGCACCACAGGCTGAGGATTAGCTTAGTGAGCCTCGGCGCCGGCTTAGAAGTAATACTTTCTTCATTGATTAGCAAGCATCACTTACTGCAAATACATTAAGATTATAATTAGTTTAACAGCATTTCCTCCTTTTCTTTATATTTTTCTGTCTTTAATAGTTACATGTGCATATCATAGTCATTTATATTCAAAGTGCTAACACACCTTTATTTCAATGAAAACAAATTATATTTTGAAAGTTTCACTTTCTTGAAGAGTAAAATTAGTGTCAGAAAATTCAGCTCTGTAACATGCCTCTGTCTTCTGATCCTTACATACAGTTACAAATAAGTGAATCAGCAGTGAAAGTGCTCTGACATTAATACAATGTTTTTAAATGAAAGGACTCATTAGAAAGTAGATTTTTGCTATGCACATATACTCTCATTGAAAATATGATTCAATATAAATCATGATAATATTTGAAGTGCATATTAAAATCATCATGTGTTATCACTGTACAAATACTTATTTAAAAATGAGTACATCAAGCCACATACTCAGGTTCTGTTAGTGGTGTGGTTTCATTTGGCTCATTTACTGGGCTTCCATCTTCATGATTAGTAATTCTTTCATCTTCTGTTCTCATCTCCACTATTGGTTCTTTTGATCCATCTTTCCTAGAAAAACAAAGAAAAAAATCTTATCTACGCAATGTAAAAATAGATACATCATTGACCACAGTTTACAATATAATTCTACTTCCTTCCAGTAAATCCAGCATGGTTGGATTGAAAATCCACTGTGGAGCCGGCGCCGTGGCTCAATAGGCTAATCCTCCACCTTGCGGCGCCGGCACACCGGGTTCTAGTCCCGGTTGGGGCGCCGGATTCTGTCCCGGTTGCCCCTCTTCCAGGCCAGCTCTCTGCTATGGCCAGGGAGTGCAGTGGAGGATGGCCCAGGTGCTTGGGCCCTGCACCCCATGGGAGACCAGGAAAAGCACCTGGCTCCTGGCTCCTGCCAGGATCAGCGCGGTGCGCCGGCTGCAGCGGCGGCCATTGGAGGGTGAACCAACGGCAAAGGAAGACCTTTCTCTCTCTGTCTCTCTCTCTCACTGTCCACTCTGCCTGTCAAAAAAAAAAAAAAAAAAAAAAAAAAAAAAAAAAAGAAAATCCACTGTGAAAAATTTTTCCATTTAAATTTATTTTTCCATATCTTTTCACTTAGAAAAAAACACCTGATTTTACCTAGAATTAATTATCTCATCAAGGTTCCTGTTTAGACTGTTCCTGTTTAGACTGTTGCTGCCTGTTCCTAGACAGTGCCTGACACACATGAGGTACTGAACCAATGCTAACTGCCGGTAGTGGCTCAGGAAGGCAAGAGAGATTTATGTTTGGAAATGTATGACTAAAACTTAGAACCTGAACAAAATACTTAAAATGAAAATATCTTCATATATATTTAGAAAAATATTTTATAAAATTATTAATTCCTAAATAAAAGTGTACATGTTCATCCAGCATATGGCATTGTAAACAAACTTCAAACTTTGTTATGAGTTGCAGAAAATATGTGTAAGACATACAGTATCAAATTATAAAGGAACTCATTATATAACTAATAAATAAGAAAAAAATGCAATATACAAAAACATGTCAAGAATATGAACTAATGATTCTAAAAAAATTACTGAAGGAACAAACTCCGATTCAATATGTGCTAGAAAAAATAATGCAAATCTTAAATAATATCCAAATATTATTATAGAACCTGGAACCTGGGGCCAGCTCTGTGGAATATCGGGCAAAGCTGCCGCCTGCAGTACCGGCATCCCATATGGGTATAAGTTCGTATCCCGGGTACTCTACTTCTAATCCAGCTCTCTGCTATGGCCTGGGAAAGAAGACAGCGCAAGTCCTTGAGCCCCTGCACCCTCATGGAAGACCCAGAAGAAGCTCCTGGCTCCCAGCGTTGGATCAGCACAGCTCTGGCTGTTGTGGCTAATTGGGGAGTGAACCAGTGGATGAAAGACCTCTCTCTCTCTTTCTCTCTCTCTCTCTCTCTGCCTCTCCTTCTCTCTCTGGGTAACTCTGACTTTCAAACAAATAAGTAAATCTTAAGAAAAAAAAAAAAAAAAAAACCACCTGGAACCCAGTCACTGCAATGTAAGCTTTGTGTGTCCCGAATGACATAATTTTTGCACCCAATGCCTATCCTTAAACTGATATTTGAAAAACTGTGGAGAAATATGTATGCTCTAATGTTATTGGGAGGGAGAATTAGAATATACTTTTTGTGTAATTTATCAGTGTTTTTAAGTTTGGCTTCCCATTCTCTATCTTAGAATTTACTGCATATTTACAAGAGTTACATGAAAGGATGTCCAAAACAGTATTGTTTAGTATAAAATTTTAAAGCTTTCATCTAAATAATAACAATAAATAGAAAAATATAACTTCTAAGAGTATCAAGTACTAATTAGTAATACAATCAATGACACATTAATTTATGTGTTAAAATGGAAAATTATTGCAGTTACATAAATATCTTTATATATTCTAAGACCTCATTTCTTTAACACTACAGACTATGAAAATTATTTGGAAATACATAAAAATCTTAACATTGATAAATAATGAGGCAAATAGGTTCAATAAAAACATATTTTATTTATACTTTATGTATCTTTTCATTGTTTAATTCTCAAAATAAAAGTATAAATATACATAAATACATATACACAAATAATAGTGTTTTTGTAACTAAAATAGTTAAAAACACTAATGCTATATTGTTGTATTATCTATCAGACAGGGAAATAGAGAGAAATAGAGTGTTTCCACTGCAAAGATTATAAATGTCCAAATGCACTGTGTCTGTCAGATTCTATCCATTCTATAATGAGAGGTTATATTATTCACAATTTAGTAAATACCATCAGAATGTAAGACTTTCAAGGCATCAATATATCAGGGAAGAAATACTAGAAATGATTAGTTCATAAAAGGGAAGAGAAAATGCTATACTGTAGCTTAAAATGTGTATTTTTCTGTTTTATTTCAGAATGAAGAAGGTTAACATAGGATATTTACCTGTAAAGAATTTTACCTAAATGAAATAAAAGGAAATCCCTTCCAAAATGTCAAAGAAATGAAATTGTATATTATGTGTACTTTTTGTATTGACTCCCTTAAATTAGTAATAAGCTTTTAAGTTTCCTCCATGCATTTGCATGGATTGAGAGTTCATTCCTTCTTGATGGTAAATGTTATTCCATTATATAGATGTGCCAACGTTTGTCTATCCATTCATCCACTAAAGGATATCTTGGTGGCTTCTAAATTTTGTGAATTATGACCAAAACTCCTATAAATATTAGTGTACAGACTGTTTTGTGGATGTTTTCAACTCCTTTGGTAAATACTAAGATGCTCAATTGTTGGAAGGAAAATTGACAGCCAGAAAAGAGAACATTTGGCTGTTTAACAAATTGCTAAAATGTTTTCTAAAGTGGCTGAACTACATTACATTTCCAACAGCAACTAATGAGATTTCCTGTGGCTCTACAACCTGTGCCACATTTGGTGGTGTCATTATTCTGGATTTTGACTATTCTAATAGAATTTTAGTCGTATCTTGTTTTAATTTCATTTCATTATGACATATAATGTGAAAAAATTTTCCCTGTGCATATTTCCTTTGTGTAAATCTTTGGTGATGTGACTTTTAATGTCTGCAGCTCATTTTTAAAAAGGAATTCAGTAGTCCATTATGTTATATTCAGTTTTTTGAAATATATATTTTGGATTATATATATTATGTAACATAATGTATGTATTATATTCTTTGGTTAATAATTTTTCTTATTCTGTAGCTTGTCTTTTTCTTTTATTAATAATGTTTTTGTACAGTATAAAATTAATATCAGTGAAGTCCATCTTATTAGTTATTTATTTCAGGGACAGTTCTCTGGTGTTGGATCCAAAAGTCAACACCAAATCCATGATTATCTAGAAATCTGCTATATTAACTTCTGTCTTATAGTTTTACATTGTAGATTAAAATCTATGATGCATTTTAAGTTAAATTTGTGACTAGCATAATGTCTGGGTCTGGGTCTGGATACAATTTTTTTTGCCTCTGAATATTCAATATTTTTTCCTGTACCATTTATTGAAGAGATGAACTTTTCTGCATTTATTTCCTTTGATCAGTCAGTTAAGTATATTCATGGTGGTTCGTATCTGCTTTCATTAGTTTATTAAACTGTTCTTTGGTTGATAGTACACTGTCTTGATTCTGTGGCTTGTAGGAAGTCTTGTAGTTTGATTATGTCTGTCTTCTATTTTTGTTCTTCTGTATCAATATTTTGTTGGCTACTGTAAAATTTTTGTTATTGCCTGTCTACATAAACTTTAGAATCATTTTGTCTGTATCTACAAATAACTTTTTGTGACTTTGATTGGGATTGTACTGAGTCTATCACACATGTTGGGAAGAATCTTTTTTTTTTAATTTATTTGACAGGTAGAGTTATAGACAGTGAAAGAGAGAGACAGAGAGAAAGGTCTTCCTTCCTTTGGTTCACTCCACAGATGGCCGCTACTGGTTGGCTCTGCACGGATCCGAAGCCAGCAGCCAGGTGCTTCCTCTTGGTCTCCCATGCGGGTGCAGGGACCCAAGCACTTGGGCCATCCCCCACTGCCCTCCCGGGCCACAGCAGAGAGCTGGACTGGAAGAGGAGCAACTGGGATTAGAACCGCCACCCATATGGGATGCCAGTGCCACAGGCGGAGGATTAACCAAGTGAGCCATGGCGCCGGACCCGGGAATATTTTTTTTTAAATATATGTGTTTATTTATTTATCATAAAGGCAGACCAACAAGGTATGTTGAGAGAAAGAGAGAGGAGAGAGGAAGCTTCTATCTACTGATTAAACTCTCTGAATGGCTTTACTCCCAGGATCGGCTATGATGAGTAGGGACTAGATTGTCCACCCTAGTTTGCCACAGTAATTTAACCTGCTGCTCAACAACACCAACTCACAAGTGACATCTTGATGATACTGGGTCTTCCTATACAGTAATGTGGAAAAACTCCCTATTTAGTTAGTTATTTGATTTCTTTTAACAGAATTAGATCACAGATTGATTAATTTTCAGTTTTGGGGATGTGCTAATGTAAATATTAATGTGTTTTAGTTAAAATTCTTATTCATCTATTTATAGAGGAAAGTAATTCACTTTTTTAAAAAAATATTTATTTGTTTATTTGAAAGTCAGAGTTACAGAGAGGCAGGGGGAGAGAGAAGGAGAGAGGTCTTCCATCTGATGATTCACTTCCCAGATGGCCCCAATGACCCGACAGAGCCACGCCGAGCCGAAGCCAGCAGTCAGGAGCTTCCTCGGGGTCTCCTACGTGGGAGCCAGGATCCAAGGACCTGGGCCATCTTCTATGGCTTTCCCAGGCCATAGCAGAGAGCTGGTTTGGAAGTGGAGCAGCCAGGACTCCCACCGTCGCCTATATGGGATGCCGGTGCTGCAGATAGCAGCTGGACCCACTATGCCACAGCGCTGGCCCTGTGATTCACTTTTGCATATAGATCTTGTAAGATACAACATTGTTACAGTCATTTCTTATTTCAAGAATTGTTTTTTTAATTTCTTCAAATTTTCT